CCTGAACAACCATCATTTATTTCGTTATCAGCCATTCTTTATTATAAAACAAAAGAATAAAAAGAAGTATTAGTTTAAAATTAACTAATTTAAGGGTGATCTACATTTTAACTGTTTCTAACCAGTTAACGAAATACTTTAACCGGTTCCAACCTCACCTTTGGTCTTTCCTGTTTTTATCAGTGCAGGCAATTGATAGCACAAGCTTTTTCCGCCACTGGTTGGCATTACTACAAAAACGTCCTTTCCATCCAGTGATTGAACAATTGCTTCAAGTTGATTTTTTCTAAAACCCTTCAATTTGAACATGTCATTCAAAACATTTCTGATATCATTCAACCTTTTTTCAGGTGATGATGTTTATGGAGAAAAATATTTCAAAATTTGTTAGTTGCTAGTATAAGAGATAATAATACAAGTTACAAATTAATACCATTTTCCCAACAAAGACTAAAATGATGACAAGTTGCAATGCGTCGCAACCACTATTCTTTTTTAATAACTAGAACTAGAGTGGCGACAATAACCACCACCACCATTCTTTCTTTTTTTCTTCTTGAGTTACTTCTGGAAGACATTTTTAATTTTTTTTAAAAAAAAAAGTCTATTATTTGGATTGACAACGCGTCAGCACAGTGGACATTTTGATTGATTTCATTGGCTGTTGATCATCACATAAAAATCAAAATTTTTATCGGTATATACAAAAAAATAAAAAAACATAACGTTTATAAGAAAATTCTTAAATAAATATTAATATATTAATATTATTTTTTCTGAACGTCATTAATACATAACTAGGTTTTTTATTACAAGTCTAATGTTTTATTACTCTTCTTTGACTTCATAAATCGTTGTTTTATATTCATTACTGAATTAGCATCTATTATATAATATACATTTTCCTATTTAAATAATAAATTGGTGGACGTGAATAAAATGTAAATATAAATGACCTATTTATACAAGAATGAATTTTAAACATGTTTACATTACTTTATATTATCTCCCCATAAAATCTTGTTCTCGGTTCAAGTGCTGTATATCTCGTTATTGTTTAATAAATTCTTAATTAAACAATCTTTAATCTTTTCTCTTCTTCTAAATATTATCTCATTGTGAAAAAAATATGATACAACCTACTCATATGATCCTTAATCCGCATTAGAAACATTTGAATATATACAAGTAAATATATAAAAATAAAATATTTCTTTCTTTAAAGTATAATGAGAATATAAAAGAAGTCTTTACCTGCAGTATAATAACGTTTTATTAATAAAAAAATATGTTGTATATAATAATTCATTCTTTACATTAAAAAATAAAATAAATAATAATAATAAAGGTTGCAATTCTGACATAAATAGATCACAAAAACCTTAAACCTTCGCTTCTAATATAACCTGCCAAGATCAATTTGATCAATTTGATCGTGTTTACCAAACTGTAAAGAAAAATTAAAGCAATATATCAATGCAAAAAAAGATGTGTTTCATAAAATGGTTTTTGTGCGCAGTCAACGAGACCGTTTTACAACATAAAAAAGATCAACAATCGATTTTGTCACAGGTGATAAAACGAATGTCCACTATGCTGTCTAATTATTTATGTATGGAACCCCCTATAGTTGGCTTGGTCTAAAGACCTCCTAAATTTTGGGCAAATTTTAAAAGTATAGAAATCACTTTCTGTCCTACCTTTTAAAAAAATAGCTCTATTAGTTGATAGAATATGTCTTTAGTTTTAATGTAGTAGAGAGATTTTCTCAAAAAAATTATTTTTTGTAGAGTTCTATTCTTTTTTAAAACATGTACTTTACTATGCTCGCGAGGAATTTGTCCGCTAGGATCATTTCTAAATTTAGGAAAAATATTACCAAATTTAGACTAGCCCTTGACTATCGTATCTAAATTTGGCAGTAAGAAAACTAAAATCACGTGAAGTCCT